TGTCATACTTACAAAGAAAACTTTAGGTGTTTTGTGCAGCCGGTCTCAGAAGACCCAGCTAGCAGATCTGAGGGGCCTGTTTGGACGGTATGGTGTGAGAAGAGAAAGGAACATAAAAAGAACATCAAGCAAATGTCACACAATAGCATACCAAAAAAAAAAGAAAGAAAATAACATAAGAATACATATCCATAATACCCAAACACCCATGCACTCTTCTGTTCACAGGTCTGTGAAAATGGTTAACACATACTAGGTTTACACGCACACACATACCACAACACTAACACTTAGCGTAGACCTGAGAAAACAGGATTGTTTGTTTTGATCTTAGCTTTTAATGCAGATACAGTATTCACAGATTGCAGCTCATTTGGCAACTCACTTCAGAGGGCAGGTCTGCAGTAACTAAAAGCACCTTTACCTGATCTTATTAGGGGTACAACCAGGAAGCCACTGTCTGAGGACCTGAGAGGTCGGATGAGGATGTAGTCAGTGAGCGGGTCAGAAATATACTGTGGAGCTAAACCATGTAGTGTCTTAAAGACCAAAGCAAATTCCTTGTAAGTGAAAACCTACTCAGCATAAATCCTTTTCTGATTCTGTTTCTGATTACTCCACCGGAAGATAATTTAAAATCAAATTAATTTAACACAGTTTATTGTCATTTTTGTTTTTATGTGGTAGGGCAGATTTAAGGTTTCATTGCTTGTTTGTGGCACCTTTGCCTCCACCCTGTTGAATACAGTGAGTAATATCATCTCCTTATCTGATGTGGAATCATTCACACTTTGACATTTAGTTTACAGAAAGCCTACTTCCCCCTCACATGAAGACACAGTTCTCTCTTTAATCACAAACACAATCTCACTCTTTGCTATGAAACAGCCAACGCCTCCATCAATCTCTGCAGATTGCAAAGATGGTATCTCTGCAACGTTGTCAATTCATGTGGTGCTATGAGTCCATAGTGGACGTCCTGGAAAGGTCACCAGCCCTGTGAAGGAGGAGTAACCTGCCATTGTCTTCACCAGACGGGACAGTGATCTCAAAAACAAAGGTAGATCATCACCTACACAGCATCGCTTTTCCTTGTCGCTAACACAGTGTCTATCATGTATTACCATTGTGCTTTGTCACTCTGCATTTGACAACTTTGCACACAGGTGACACTAAATGACAAGAAGGTAACTTTAGGAAGAAGAGAGACATTGTCATGATTTCATTACGCTGCAGTCTTAAAGGTGAAGGCTGATGCACAGTTTTAGTTTGTTGTAGACAGGCGCGTGGGAGAAAATGTCATCAGGGATGAGACAAAGAATTCCTGCACATTGTCCTTTAACTTGCAGATAACAGAAGTTAAAATTTCAGCATAATGTCTTCTAACTTGCAATACACTTTTTAGGAAGTTGTGCATGAATTCTCTCCTCTCTTCATTATACTGCACTCAGCACACTCAGGTTAATTTACCAGGCCTGTATTTGCTGAGCTTTTACCAAAACACACAAGGCAAAACAACTAGTGTTGAAGGTTTCTAACATTTCAATAATCATTAAAAACAGAGGTAAATGTTCTCAGCAATTAAACAGCCTAAATAAGATCTCTAGTTGGACCTTTTATATGTCAAACAATACATTTATCTGTATAATTGTCATTGGCAGATGGACAGATGTATGATTGCACAATGTTACATTAGTTTTTCACATAATGAGAGAAATCCATAATAATGGTCGTGGTGAAAATAACCTAAAACGACATAGAGCAATAGAGATGTCCCCTCCGACAGAGATACACTCCACATTATGGTCTTAAACCTCAGCCACAGTTTGACACACAGAGATCCAGCTTTGACAACAGGTGACACATGACACACAAAAGTGTGCTCCAGTTTGCAAAACAGTAAAAACAGGATCCAAAAGGTGCTGTGTTGTCAAAACACTTCATACAGTCACTAAAATTACATCCTGCTGTCGGTAGAGAAAAGGCTGCAACAAAAATCTCCTCAATCACGACAAACAACCTATTTTCAACACAGAATCAAATCACAAGTTCATATCTGCAGTCATTTAGTGGAAATGCACCAAAGACGAAGAGAAAATAAAATATTTTAGGTAGTAGGGATTTGGTATCCGAACTCAGTACCTTTAGGGTCTTGACTGAAATAACCCAGGTAGTATTGAAACTTCTCCAGTCAAACAATACCTGCATTCGATTATTTTTGTACCAAGATCTAGAACAAAAAAGACAATTTGTATGGTTTTGCTCACAGCCAATCACAGCAAGCGCTCTTCGATTTAATGCGACATGTGATTGGCCCACTACCTCAGCAGGCACAACTCACTCAGTCTGGGGTGTGGTGAAGTTGAGCGCGGTCTATTTGACAGTTTGCGGTTTCAAACGTATTAATATACCACAAGGCTTTGGCTCTGGTGGCATTTTAGGCAAGTGAATGCTTCCAATCACATTGACTGGTCTCAAATTAAGTACTCTATTGGTTGCAGTATGGTATCACAAAATTTAGATTTAGACTCATCCACGTCACACCCAAGAGAGAGCCACCTAATTCCCCACAGCCTTACATCCCAGCTTTATTTTCTGCTCTGTCTGCTTCCTTTTTTCGTACAAACTTAAAGTAACCAACCTGGCATGTCCCTTAACATGTGACTACATACTGAGTGTGTCCAACACAACAAAAACTGATTTCTCTTATCTGGGAACAAGGTCTTAGAACATTGTGAGCAGAAGAATGTTAGGTGAAGTCTGCATTTAGTTTCTGCACTTGTTTTAAATGTTATGCCATACTTTCCACTCCATGTGGTAGGCATGTTAAAAGTGAAAATAACTGAACTAGAAATCATTAAATGTTAAGTAAATGCACTGGTGGTCTACTCTATAGTTGGTCAGAACAGTAGAGAGGGACCTGACCTGCAGCAGGTTCAAGTTAAACCTCACTTACAGTGACCTCTAGTGGCAGTAAAGTGTTTGTACAAGCCATTGGCTGTATGCTCTGTAGACACATCTTGGACATTAACCTTATGGGAACACAACAATTCAGCTTGAGACCACTGGACTTGACTTTAACCCATCCTACCCAGCAAACAAACTGCAGCAGGGATATAAAACATCAGAAAACAGTGAGAAATGTCTGTGAATGCCTGCCAGTCAAAAAAAAAAGACCTCAAGGTGAAATCATCAAAGTTGTTTTGTTTCCAGCAGCAGTCCAAAACCAGAAATATTTAGTTCATTATAATGTAAGATGACAACAAACAGACAGTTCTCTGTGTAAGAAGCTGGAGTCGTCAGATGTTTGGCATTTTGCTTGAAAAATAACTTGAGGGCTCAGAAGGCTTTACAGCATACAATATCAAAAATGGTAGAAACCTCAGGAAGAGTGACTGAGGAGGGATCCCTCTTCCAGGACGGACAGATGTGCAATAGATGTCATACAGAACAGATCAACATGATACATTTGCAGTAATCCATATGACAAAATGATGCATAAAGAGAGACAGTATATGTATGTGACAATAATAATCATATGTGTATAATAACAGAAGTATGACTAATAATAACAGCAGCAGTAGGAGGCATCAGGCAGGACCACGGCAGCAGCGTAACCATGACACACGATCCAGGCGTAGCTGTGATACGAAGGAACCTGCGAGACAGTGGAGCACAAAGACTCCGGAGAAGAAGCTGAGTTAGGGATATGCAGTAATAGGACGTGAATGTTAGCAAGTGAAGAAAAACCAACCTTTCGGAAACTGACGAGAGAGAGAGAGAAGGAGAGAAAGGGCTCAGTGTATCACAGGAGTCCCCCTGCAGACTAGGCCTATTAGCCTAACTAGGGGCTGGTCCAAAACAAGCCTGAGCCAGCCCACAAGCCAATGTATTTTTTGGCGTTTTGAGCACCACAAGCCGAGCGCCATCCAGTTCCAATATATTGGAGAGAAGGCAGACATCTCTTCAGTTGATATCTCCAACACTCGACAACTCACACAAACAGTCTGATAAACAGCACTACAGGTAGCCTATCATCGACCGATTGCTGCAGCTCCGCAGTGCAGTCACCTCATACTTTTGTCCCGTACCACTAACCTGCTTCAAAGCTACAGGTGCTCAGCTTTGTGTGTTTTTTGTGTGAGAAATGACTTCTGGCTTTGACTCATATTAGTATTGTGACATTAAGTGAGACGGGTCTGCACACCTACACAGTAATTTGAATACCAAAGAGGCCCACCCATTGTACAAAACAAAAACCGTTATTGTTCTGTGATAGAGTTTAGATGGCACGTTATATACACATGAACCATGATTCTTATGTTTCAACTCCGGGTGCAGGACGTGTACATCAGAGTGCTCAGAGGTAATAATATTTGGAGCTAATTTAATTATTGAAAGTAAGCTGTGCGCCGAGGGGCTCCACAGCTGAATTATGACTCATTTAGCTTCACACAAAACACAGTCTGGTGGAAAATACTGAAAACCCCTGTCAAACTGTTTTTGTAGACATGTAGGTGTATGATAAGGGTCTTTTGAAAGGTATCAAAAAGCATCTCTGGGGTTCATGTTCAGAATCATCTCAGTACTGAAACATTTATTAGTTGTGTTCTGACTGAATGTTGAAAATGATTTGAGCGAGTAGGTGTGTTGTGATAATTAAGACATTTTATGGCAGACAGTGGAACAAAAAATATTTTTTCACTTATCTAAAAAAAAACTATTATTTGTCTTACTTTATTGAGGTGACAAATGTGATGACTAAATTTTTTTGTAGAAGATAATTTCAGTTTCCTGTTGACATTTTTTTTTGCTCTCTGGTTAAGTATTGCATATTCATAGCAGCAGAGTGGATGTGGTGGGAAGGCACCACACAGACACCGCTCAAAAAGGTCTGAAACCACATCCTGAGTCACGCCACCGATGATGATGCCTTCGCAGTGTCAAAGCGGAACATTGTTCCACTAAATGTTCTCACACAGACGTCAGTGCATTGGGGACTCTGTTGCCTTGTGGACTGATTAAGAAGCAGAATTTTAAACTGAGAGGAGGTAAGATGGGTTATTCTTTAAATTTATTTAACATGAGAAAAGAAATCGTTCATGAAAAATGTTCTGTTTTACGAAGTTTAGATAGTTTGAGAGATTTTTTTTATTAATTTAATTACCCCTAATTCTGACAAGTACACAGTGATGCTCCTTTATAAATGTATTTAATTATTGATTAATGGTTAATGCTAATAATGATGTTAATTGTAGTCAGATTTGTGAGCCTCTGTGAATTTAATAATTAACTAACCTGTTTTACCAGCGAATATCACAAAAAAAACCCCAACTTTTTATTAATTTTTTTTACAAAACACATTTCTAACGAGTATCTATATTTAGTTTCAGCTGCTGTGTTTCCTTCTGTCTAACCTGCGGCTGATAACGGTGGGTTGTTCCCATGGCTCTCAAACCCGCTCTCTTATTGTTGCTGTGGGACCTCACTTTGTTTGTTCACGGTGGTAAGTTGTCTTATCTTCTCTGAGTCTTTTTCTTTTATTCATGTGAATTTCTGGAGGTAATTCCCCACGTTAATGTACGTGATTTAAGATGAACTTAGTATTTTACTCAACGTGTTGTGTGTTTGTCCTGATGCTGCAGGCTTTGCCAAGTTTCCCTTGAAAAAAGTTTCCTAACTTCTGTGGTTGCCAAATAATTTAAAGGGTCAGGCGTTTGTAGAGAATGAATGTTAAATATAATAAATACAATGTTAACTGATCTGAGTGTTCTTGTGTGCTGCAGTCACAGCTTTGTGCGATGTCAACTGCTCAACGAACTACAAGGATACACTGAACTGTTCGTGCTCAGACCCTCTGCCGACATCTCCTGTCCTTGTCAAAGTCATATGCAGGTACAAGCTGTGTGCAGTGTCGCTGTTAATGAATATGCTTTACATTGGTGTGTGTTACAGTGTGTGTCTTCATTGTGGCATCAGTGGCTTTTACTCAAATGTAGTCTGGAAGCTGAAATACAGGATCCCCAAGTTAGAATAACATGCTCTTAGTAATATTGGTAGCATTTTTTTTTTAGGGATTTTATGTCTTCTTTTGTTACTATTGCCCTGTGAGCAACTTGAAAATGAAAATGGAGTTTCTTCTGATTAGTGGCTTTGATATAATGGAAACACGTAAGGGTGCTGAACAGATTTTTGACCCCAGCAATGGTTTTATTGCCCCTTCTCACAGCATTTCCTAAAGAAATTTCAGTGTAAACATTCTTCTTGGATGTTATCTCATGTTTTATTTTCAGTTAGGTGGTGGGCGACATGGCTGAAAAGTATATCACGATATAGCCGGTTCATATTGATCGATGATGATAATTATCGGTAATTTTTTTTTAATAACCTATTTAAAATAAGGACCAGGAGAAAATAAATACATTTTAACACATTTATTTTAAACTCAATAGCTTTCTCCTGATTTCAATCACAGTCATCAGTCAAGGCACACGGAGGAAAATGTAATGTCAACACACTACTCGAGTATTTCCTCGCTATCCACACTCATTCTTGCTACTTACTCCACGCTGTGTTGTCTTCAGTGTTGCCAGATCTTGGGAGAAATACATTGTACCTACTGTCCTTGAACTCTACTAAACCAACTAGCCGACCATAAACGTGCAAAGAATAAATGAATGAATGAAAATGAAAGTAAAGAAGTTCCATATAACGAGCCATTTTACTTTCACTGTAACAGTGCTGGTATGCTGAACAAGATCTGAATGATGAATACATATTTCACACAGAATCTGAATCTGCACACTGCCTTTGAAATGTCCCCCTCTTGAAGTCGAATCTTTTAATCCTCTCTCTTTTTACAAATCTTGATTGCATTCTTTCCATAATTCGCCCACTTGTTAGCGAAATAGTTAAAGAACTGCGATTTAAATGTGAAAAGTCTCATTGACTGACCGTCGGGGGGAGGGGGCGGAGCTGTGGAAACATCCTGCAGTCCGACATACTATCACGCATTTAAATAACTTATTGGACGGATATATATAGAGAAAGGCGATGTTTAGAGAGCAAGCCCAAATAAGCAACTCCAATTTAGAAACAAGCCCAAAAAACGCTATCTGCGACCACACAATGATGGCTCAACCAAACATGACGTTGTTCGCTGTTTGCGTGACACCGTTGCTAGGTTACCAGGGAACAAGTGAGTGTGTTCATGCAACCAAACTTGCACAGGCTTCGAGGGTAACTTGCTCTGCTTTCCTCGTGTTTTTTCCTGATGGAGTAACATTATCGAACGTTATATCGAATGTTTTTTCTATCGACTGCGCATAAGTGTTTATCGCGAGACGATATGTTATCGTTTTATCGCCCACCACTGTTGTCAGTGGGGTAAAGAGTGGAGGCCAATTGCTGTTGTTGTTCGAGAGATTTAAAAAAAAAAAATCAATAATGGGCAACATTTGATGCTGTTGATTGTTTTTCTTCACGTTTACATACAACATAAACAAACATTTTTTTACAGTAACGATTGCTTAAATTTGGTTCTTTAAAGCTTATGACCAAGATACTGTATGTACAGCCCAGTCGTCAGAGGGAATTGTTGGCATTGTACATTTCTGCAAACCACGAATATGTAACATTTGCACGTTACTTTCATATCATACAGCAATTCTAAAGTGACGCAGCATATAAGCTGACTTGTGTGTTTTGTGGTGCTGTTTTTCCAGCGTGAAGCAGCCACGAAAACACTGCTTTTCCAGCAGGGATTGTGCCTTCAACACCAGTCATCTTAAGCCAAAGTTTGATCTTTTTCTTACAGTAACCAAGTGGTTTTTAGATCTCAACCAAACCACGTTAACCACAGCATTGTTGAAACATGAAGTTTCAGTGTATCCGCTACATCATAATGTCAAAGAGTAACATGTACATGGTTTGCAGAATGTGCAATGCCAACATTTTTCCTGACAAATGGGTTGGTTTGACATTTTTTCTGTTGGTGGACAGACTAGGTTATGAGGGTGTTGTTTCTGAACCACTGCAAAGACTTAACTAGGAGCTGTTTTGATCATTTGTGGCTTTAATTGTTGAAGCAATATATTTAGACAAAAGAATCATTCAGTAATTGAGAAAATAATCAGCAGAAATAAATAGCAAGCAAAGCAAAATAATCAATAATGGGAAAAGAATGTTGCAGCTGGTTGATTTTTATGATTCAGGCTCTATCAGAGCTTTTAGCAGCTGTGTACATGGAGAAGGGCTTATGCTTAAATGAAACACACAAATGAGGAGCATGACCACCGGATATTTACTGTTCTTTCTATGAAACAAGAGGACAGGTAAACAAGGCTAGGTTTTTCTTATGTCTGTCTGTTGGATTACTTCTCAAATGAGACATTAATAATGTCAACTCAAGCTTTTCACATCCAAGCTCTGCATCAGTCCTGCTCATAAACAATCACATGGAAACCGCAACCTTTAGTTCTGACATGCCAGCTGATGTCACAAGACATTACTAATTGTAACACACTGTTTATCTGTTGTAGTGATGAAGAACTTGAGATTACTGGTAGCTGTGAAGTCAAACCACCTCAGTCCTGGTGCGTAATGACTCCGCATGGCCTCTTTAGTGCTGCAACTGTTGGAACCATGTGCACTGCAACGGCCAGTCAGCAGGATGATCAAATATTGATAAATGCTGATGAGTCACCGAGCTGGGCACTATGTGATGTGGGTGAGTTCATCTGATAATAATTGTGTGATATGACATTTCAGTCTTCGTCATTTCTGCTGAACAGATAGGAGGATGACACAGAAATGAAAAAAGGTCACAGACAACAGCAGTAACATCCCTCATGACATGTTCAGAGGCATCAAGATATGTGTGTAAAAATGTGTATGAAGTTTAGTGTATAATTCTCTTAATTCTCCTCACATTAACTTTTCTTTTTACACATATTAGACGCTTTTTAAACGCTCCAAACATTTTTGCTCTTGTTAAACACAGCAGCCACATCACTGTGTATTAAACCTCTTTGTTTGAAAGTTCAGAAAATTCAGAGGTGACGGGAATCATACTGGCAAATTTCCAAACTTACCCTAAATGTTGTTTGCCAGCAAACGCCCACCCACCTGTGTTACTCTCCAGATTAAGACAAAAGTTAAAAATAATGTTAAACTGCCACTTGTGGTCTGTTGTTGGCTTCTGCACATTTTCAATAACATAATATTCCCCTGGTCCCCTGTGGGCTTTACTTTCACAGTGAAAGCTACGCCTCCTGTCAGTGTTACAGTGACAAGCACTGACGGATGCTACAATGTCTCTTGGGACCATGACAACAAAGAGGACATTCTCATATACAGGGTGCGCGTGAGAGAAAGCAAAGACTTGTCAAAGGTAATATGTGAACCAAAACACCCAAACAAAACCTCACGTTTGCCTTGAGAGGCTGTTTAAGTATTTTATCATTGATTTTGTCTGCGAACGACCCCCATGCCAAGCTGGCTCTGTTTTATTCCTCTCTTACAGGCTCCAGTACATTTCCTTGAAGTAGAAGAAAAATACAACCTGTTAGACTGTAAGAAGCTGCAGCCGTATGTCAGCTATGTTGTGGATGTTCAGGCCAAAATGTCTCCCAATAATCTCTATTTGGGTCCGTGGAGCGAGTGGAGTTCCACTGCAGAGTGGAGGAATGGTAGGTAGAAGAGAACCTTCCAGCCTGGAGCCACGATATAATTAACTTTGTCTCATGCTAAATCAGACTGTTGTGGCCACTCACAGGTGTTGTTGTGTTTTCATGCTTCAAACCATCATAGACATGTGTGTTTCAGGGCAGAACAAAAAGACTTGAATTTGACTGGAAGAAACCTGTAGGGACCCTGAATGCAATGTGTGTGTGTGTGTGTGTGTGTGTGTGTGTGTGTGTGTGTGTGTGCGTGTGTGTGTGTGTGTGTGTGTGCGTGCGTGCGTGCGTGCGTGCGTGCGTGCGTGTGTGTGTGCATTGATCTATACAAACATATCAGAAACAGGAAGTGTGCAGTTTGTCATACCATTTCTGTCAGTACATATTTTAAATGTTATATCTCCTTTACAGGAACGAATGAATGGTGGTGGTACGTCACCCCGCCCATCGTCGTTCTTGTTCTCCTGTTGCTGGGTTATTTACAAAAACCGTGAGTACTGCAAACACTGGAGCTACTGTCAGTTTCTCCAAAATATGAGAATTTAATCTCAGTCCTTTTTTAAGAATGTTTTGGATTTGGACCTTGATGCTGCTAAAACTTTATAACTTTTAAAAATGTATCTTCAAAAGCCTGGTTCGCAGTGTTTAGTGGTTGGCTTTTGGAGAAGCTTGCTGAAAACAACTCGTATCATTATCAAAATAGAATGTTCCCATTGCATTAAAGCTCAAACTTCCTTTTGGATTTACACTTAACGGAGTCTGCATTCATTGCACAGAACAAGAACTTATCAAAGTGAAAGCAAATTAAGGCTTCAGGTCAGCAACCCTTTCTCTTCCAGTAAATCATTATCAAAGGTTCTCACTGCTTCGATCTACACTTTCCTGGCATCACCTCCCACATGTAGAGAAACCACTGCAGAGCTGTACGTGCAGAGGCACATTGCACTGAAATGGCTAGCAGACATAGGAAGTCATGCAGAGCATCAGTGTCAGGGAACTGAGAACACCTCGCTTATTATGGGCCCACAGTGACATGTAAAAACACAAGCTTAAAAAAGTCAGTAAACGTAGCGCTTGCACTATTTTCTATTTGTTTGGTTCCATTTTAGAAGATAATATAGGATGATATATTCTGTGAGCTGTTATAATTAAGATTGTTGCAAGGTCTGCATTTGCTTTGCAGACATCTGTCTGCTTGTAATGTTCAGTCTTTGTTTAAACTGATTTAGAGTGATGTTGATTCAAATTTGTGGTCATTTTTGAGCCTGTAGTTTGTGGGGCTGTTAAATTAATTCGTACAATACAATACAATAAGAGCATGGATGTATTACTGAACAGGCCTACCCAGCCCAAGCTGAGGCACCCTAGGGCTTAGGTGGCTCCTGAGCCATAACCCCTGCGTGAAGTCACTGTTTTGCATTTCTTATCAAATGGCCTCGTCAGTCATGTCAATAACAAAGCCCCTCCTAAAAAGATCCTATAAACAAGAAAAACTTAAGGAATAACCTAAACACTCACTTTGAAGTCGTCACGAGAAAGAGCCATCGTGATATATTTCAAGGAAGCGTTTCTGTCCCCTCAATTTATCTGTAAGTCTTCACATAGGCTGAGTGCTCTGTGCAATACGGGCCCTTGAAGGCATGCATAACTTAAGGCAATCCAAAGTAAGAGGAGAGCAGAGCACCATGATAAAAAGTGTACAAACATCAGCTGCAGTAATATGTGACATCAGCATCAACGTGTTCATGGACACCACAATTACCACAATCGTCAGTACAAGCGGCAACAGCGTCATTGTCAAATCACCATTATCATCTTCAACAGTTACAGTCACAGTTTCTAAACTTCATGACAGCAGTCACAGGACTTCCTTACTCTCTCTGAGGAGCACCTGCGCATTACAAGGCTGCCACTTAAAAAGCTCTTCAGCTTGTTTAACACATTGAACATTGGATGATCCTCATTTTGCATGACTCTCACTTATTCTTTGCTCTGTGATCACTTCTAACAACGGGTCAAGCCAGTAGTGGATCATGCCTGCCTGAGCAGTTTGTTGATCCTTTGAGTTTCTTTGTGAGAGTTAGGGGCATCTATCAGCAGAAAGAGTGTATAATATTCCTAACTATGTTTCCTTTAGTGAGACAATAACATCAAATTATGTAGCCTGAGGATGATGTTAGTGCTGCTTGTTTGTTATATTGATACACATGATAAAAAAGGATTGCTTATGTGTCTTTATGTTTGACACAGGTACTCTGCAATGTTACCTGTAGGGATTATCGTGAATTCAGGGCTGAGAAGATGTTCAGTGTCATTACCAGTAACACCCCATTAAAGGGTTTTTTTGGGGAGTTTTTCCTTATCCGCTGTGAGGGTCCAAAAGATAGAGGGATGTCATATGCTTTAAAGCCCTCTGAGGCAAATTGTGATTTGTGATATTGAATTGAGACACAACTTCACTGTAGACAAATGATTATAATATTATACAGTGCCCAATGTTTTTTTTGTGGCACCCTAAAATTTCCGCCCGCTGTTCTAATGACACTAGTGACCTTGTTTTTGTTTGCCACAGTCAGGCTGATTGACCCGAATTAACCTAAAATCTTTTAGTTTTTTTATTAAAGATAATCTGACTAGCTTCCCTAAGAAAGTATTTCACTGCTGGAAAGATAGGCTTTTCACAAATTTAGGCTGTCTGTGCAGTGGAAAGACACATATACTTTTGAAAATCGGTGCTACATGACCAGAGAAATCGGAGGAAAAGGGCTGTGGCTTTTGCTTTTGCTCAGGAGGTAGAAAATCTATCACTACCAGAATGCATGGAGAAGCGCTGGGACAAAAAACGCTTCCACTGGTGAGTGACATAATGCGAGCTGGTTTTGGTTGGCTCATCCAAGAGCAATATGGGACAGGTCTGTCTCTCGATCCGCTTCAAATACTCTTTGTGTCTATGGTGAGAGGTATAAAAAAATGAAGTTCAATCTGTAGTTTGAGCAACAGCCCATGAGCCAGCGAAAAAATGATGATCAGGGAGATATTGGTGATGGCAAGATGGAAGGAAGTTTTACATATTCAATTTACAAATACTATCCACATTGTTATGATACAAAGCTGATTGAAAATCTGCAAAGTATCCCTTTAAATTTCACATCAACGTTCGCAGCGGGCCTATTGCTTGGCCTCCGGTATTTTTCCAATATTTCTCAGTTACTTTCCAGTCTCTCTTGAGAACGGTTCATCTAAACAACTTAGTACTCAACTCTGCTTTGGGTCCTGAGCGGTAGACCTGCCACAACATAGTTTTGTCCCCTTGAAAGTTATAGTATACTTATCATTTGATAACATGGGACCAGACTATTTGCAGAAGCAAAAGCCTTCATTCCAAAAGTTACGTCTCTGATGTTTGAAAGGTTCGAGTTTGACTTCTCTGGCCTGTGTTTCTCCTTCTGTTCTCATTATACTACACAGTGTGTACATAAGGCATGACTACTAAATACATCCTGTAGATCTCAAGAGCTTGCACTCGACACAGCACTTCCTGGGCTCTCAGCAATACATGCCAAGTGTGAAGTTGATCAAATGAGCAGTTGTCAAGAAAATCAAACAGACATACAGATACTGCTTCCATTTTAGTTAGATAAACTGAATGTATACTTTTGACTTACTGATATGACACTCAAAACTATCTTTTTCTTGCCATTTGAGTAAAATAGGTAAAAACTAAGACTGAAATTAGCACATAATTGTCACAGTGTGAGCATGACACATAGACAGTTTTTATCTGAATTAACTTTCAAGTGTAACCCAAACATTAGTGACTTCAGCTTTGTGCTGTGTAATAATTCCCATGAAAGCCTTTCTGTGCGGTCAGCTTCACAGGTTATGAGTTAGAAAGCTGTTGCATTTTGTCACGTACCAAAAATCGCCTGACCAAAAGTGACACATCACAGTTGAATTATAGATGTCAAGTTATTTTACTTTCCATTTCAATTCTTTTCTAAAATCATTTCATATTTGTTTCAGGTGGTGGCAAAAAACAATCCGGCAGTTTATACATTTCCCCAGGCCAAATGAGTTCTTCAAGCCCCTCGACCACAGCTATGGAGGCAACTTTAAGGTAAGAGAAAGCAGAACAAACTTTAGGATTTGTATGTAGTTTCCAAATTGGCCCAGCAGGTGTTGCCATAGATGGGACTTTTGGCACATCTGGACCTGTCGATGGGACTTTCCCTTGACTTCTTATGTAAGGGCCTTCAGCATGTGAATGACTCAGTGTGCAGGGGCTTCAAGAGGCTTTTCGCTTTTCATGTGTCTTGACGTGCTGTGGGTAGATATTTGTGTATGACAGCCCGACCTGTTCCACCACGGTGGAAAATACCCCTGGTGGAGATCTTTGATGTGTCACTGTGACAGGCTAAAAAAAGCCTGTTTTTCATTTGTAGGGGCAAAAGGTGAGAATGTGGGGTTTATTTTGTATCGGCGTACTGATGTTTTTGTGATTATCTTTTCCATCACCTTATTATATTTTCCCCGAATGTAAATTCTCTTTCCAATCTTTGAACACCCAGAGATTTTGTTTCTTATTTTCTGCCTCATGGTTGCTAATTTAATACCAAGGCTAGAGTGCAGACTATATATCTGAAGGACTGTGTAGCTAAAAGGGCCTCAAAATTACCAAATTTCCCTCTTACATCACAAAAGAAACTTGAAACACACCCAAAATGTCTTGCCTAAAAGTACCTAGAAATATGCATGGATTGCAGTGATGCTAAAGTAATATAAAAAAAATGACATGGCACAAATATCCAGTAAAGAAAAGGCTGATGAGAAGTTGAAAACCAGGAAACTAGATCAGATGATCTGGCTTTCACATTGACTAAAAAGACGTTCAACCATAGATTTGAGTTTCTTAAAGGAATACTTCACCCACAAAAGTACAAATCATGTATTTATTAGTCATGCCGTGTTACCTCGAATCCATATAGAAAACTGTTTTCTGTGCATGCCTCCATAGAAAACAGCAAAATATATTTATTGATTGATTGGGGACCACGTTTAACAACAGCAAAACTATATTAAAACATATGTTTTTAATCTCTCACACAATCCAAATATCATTTATCAAGTGTTGTGCTCAGTACTTCCCAAACAACAGGGTTTTAGTGAACATGCCTGTTTGTGAGGTACTGAACTTCGTGAATTCAAAGTAACATGGCTTGAATCATATATTTTGGGCGGGGCAACACAATGGTTTGAGATGAAGGTGTGAGAAAGAATAGTATCAGTAACATTGTTAAAACTGTGCTACATTACAGAGAAATACAAAACCGTACTAATGAACCTTCATTAATATAGGCCTATATTTTATCTACAAGTGCACGTCACACACTGAGCGAGCCGCCTGTTAATGACGCTGTGGGCTAATGGGCATGTAGCTACTTCCATGTTGCAGATGATACATCATGTTTGTAGTCGACCAATGAAGATGAGTTTACATATCACCTTGGGTTCGTCCTTCAACTTCTCAAAATGATCCCACACTTTGGATTTCCTGCCAGACATGTTATTAACTAGCCTGTGGAATAACCGCAGGTACCAGCCCTGGAAATTAACCTGACTCCTGTCTGACTGCTGAGCGTGGCCACTTCCTGTGTCTGTCCTTTCAAAATAAAGTCCCACATGGTCCAGTCATACAGGTTTTGATTTATTTTGACAAGGTGCAGCTCCTAACAGAGTTTAACTTTTTTTTTTTTTTTTTTTTTTTAAATTCTGCAACTAATGAAGTCTTGGTGACTAATGACCTTTCTGGTCAACTAACATTTGGTCAACTGTTAGGGGGCAGCCCCAGTAATTTCCCTCTAGTGTTATCTGTGTCATCATCATGTCCCCATTACTTATGATCATGCTGAGTTTTGTTGTGTTTAAATATTGTATCTTTTAAAAACACGGGTGGTCATGCTCACAGTTTCATCACATCTGTACTGGAGTATTCTTTAAAAAATATTGTCATGTTTGATGTAATCATTGCTCCTGTACAGACTGTTACCTCAAGCTCAATCAACCCATGAACTGGAGACCTGTGAGCAGTTGCAAATGTTGCCCAGCAGAGTGCGCTGCTGCAGCAAATAACAAAGTGAACCTCCTCTGAGAGAGGAAGTACGAGGGAGATGATGAAATAGTTGGTCTGTATATAGCACAGCTTTCCTGTACTTTCTTTCACTATACTGCATGTGCTAAACTGAGGAGGGACATTGTGTGGTATAATTAGACTAAATTCAAAAGTACTTTGTACCTGAAGGAGCAAGGCAAAGCATAAAAACACATCAAAATTTCAGTCAAAATATGCCAGTAGAAACACATATGATAAAATGAGATCATGTCTGTGGAATGAAGGTACAGTGTGTCAGAAAGTGCAGGGTTATTCTGTCTGGCTTTTCAGAGAATTAACTGATCTCTTCTTTTACCTTGTCTGTTCACGAATCTCAGAGCACCTGGAAGAAAATTAAACTTGTTTTCAATTTGTTTTACATGCACACATTATAAAACACATAGCTGATGACATTAGTTGTTTGAGGATGTGGAGCACCGTGGGTCCTGACCTCCACTAGGGGTCACCAGTTTACTCAGTGATAGAGATGGTGTCCCTCAAGTAAAAAGGTTGGGAACCACTGACGTCAAGAACATTTGTGTGGTCGTTGATCACTGTGTTAGCCTTTTTTGAGGACTTAAAGTCAACTTAGGAGCAATTAAAGAGGTAAAAAAATGTTGGAAGGAATCTCTTGTCTTTAGTTTAAAAGGACAGTAAAGATGCTGCTAAGTGTTTATTTTTGTTTTGTTTTGTTATAGTTTTCACTGATCTTCCATCTGTCATCAAACAGTGTTCATGTACTGATGACATGTTTGAGATTTAGGTCCCAACTGTAGTCCCAAATACACCAGAAGCCATTTAATTTTCCCTCAGTCACCCGTGTTTTCGGATTGTCTGTCCATCAGTCCGTCCCATTCTTGTCATATCTCAGGAGCGCCTTGAGGAAAATCAAATTTGGCACAAATGTCAACTTGGTCTCAACGATGAACTGGTTAGATTTTGTCGGTCAAAGGTGACCTCACAAAACATGTATTTGGCCATAACTCAAGAATTCATATGCTAATTATGACAAAGTTACATATAGATGTCTAATGGAACAAGATGATGAAGTGATGACACTTTGTATCCAAAAGGTCAAAGGTCAGCTTGACTGTTTCAAATGTTTCTTGGCCATTATTCAGTGTCATATCTCAGGAACAGAAGGGGAGACATTGGGTCAGATACTGAACTGGTGACACTTACCTTGAGCGTCCACCATGAAACTGTGATGATTGTATAGATTTTCTGTGTCGGGTTGAAGATGTGTGTAAAGCTTCTACGTTTTAGAATATGTGGCGTCTTTGCGGCAACATCCATACTTAAAGCATTGTCTACTGTAGCTACAGATGAGTTTGGACAGACTTGGATTTAAACTGCAGTAGTCAGTTGGCGGAGGCATACAACCACGAGGCAGTAATCCTAGTTTATGAAATATAGTGTGATAGTTCGTGAATATTGAACTCTCAGATTCATCAGACTGGATTCAAATGTAGTTACTTAACATATGACATACATGCTACCACTTACATTTCATAATTCTAAACCTGGAGCAAAAATAAGTGACAGTGTCAAAGTGTGAGAATGAAACAACATCTCTGCAGTGTGTGGAGCTTTGTGACAGGTGTGACGCTCCTCACATGTAATCCACACGCATCATCTGCTGTATTGGCACACTATCACATCTTCAGGATCACCGTGACGGACTGAACCAGCTCGTTTGGAAATCATTGCTCTAGTTCCACTTCACTATCTCACTCTTGTGGTGCAGACTGCTGCGCTCTCTCAGCAGATCTGAGAAGGTTCAGTGTTGCTGATGAGCTCTGTACCTCAGGATGTGGTGGCCTCTGCATGAAGAAACTGATTCACGCTTATCTGGCTAACGCCTCGCTGAATGGGGACTACATGCGGCTGCAGAAGGTTTATATTTTTGGTATAATGTATGTGTTGATGCAAAGCCAAGTAGAGTTGTGGGGAGAGTGGTGCATTAAAAGTGCATCACAGTAAAAATCACAGTCACATATACGCACATTATTATTTATTAATGAAGCACAACACAGAAAATGTGCTCCTTTCATTATGGAGTGAACACCTGCAGTCTGTCCATGTGAAAACTGTATTGTTATTCAAATAATAAACACAAGACAAAAGTTTAAAGCCATGACATATTTTTCTTAAATGTCATGTTATGTCTGTACAGGGCTGATTATTAGATGTGTATGGATCTCTACAGTTAAAGTCAGATGTATCCTGCTGAACACTGTGAAATCCCCAAGTGACAAATATGTTTAGGTACTTGCCCGGATGTCTCAAACTTCAGACAAGCAGCATTAGTGTTTAGATAATAGATAAAGAGTGAGTAGTCTGCTTTGGCAAGGTGTATGACGCAGAGAGTCCTCGTGCACTTCATTATTAGGAAAGGCTATTTTTTTTTATTAATGCACTCATGTTTGTCTTTTGTTGTCTGTGTGCTTAAAGTGAAGCTGCAGGCACAGGCTTAGTTTAACTTAGAGACTGGATGCAGGGGAAAGGGCTAGCTTGTTCAAAGGCTAAAAATAATCCTCTTCTAGTGCCTCTAAAGTTCACTGATTAACACACTATATCTGACTTGTTTAGTCCATAGTTAGACTGAAGTGTACAAATGACAAGTTGTGGTTTCACTGGGAGTTGGGTGCGAAAACCAAGGCTGCTTTCACACCACACCTGCCATTGGGTTCATTTGAATGTTGTTAAGACATCTTTTCTTGTTTCTACAAGATTAACGTTTATTTGTGCATTGTCCCTGTTTTAAATAAATAAATTTCCAATTCCAAATAATGTGTCTAGGCTGCGGCGATGGCCAAACACGTAATCCATAATCAGACTGGGAAGACGGCCACAGTTAATGAGAGCAAGAAATAAGCTACAGTCTCTTTCTCTCTCTCTTATCACGACATAAGACATCAAAAATAAGAAAAAATAAGACGGGGAGCTTTCTACTGACAATTTATTTTCCTCTTTTCGTTTGGTGGAAGGTCGTCTTTGCTGGTGTTTTGTTGTAATTTGCTCTGTAAAATAATGCGATCCATTGTCCCACTCACAGCTTTCTCCTTTTAAATGTTATCATCCCGCACACTGGCTGCCAATCAGGGCTTTTGATGTGTCTCACACTTGTAATTCCTAAGTGCAAACTGCGACAAATAGGTCCTCTGTGAAGGTTTTTTAAATTTAATTACATTAAATTACAAAGTATGTATTGACAGCTTGTGTGTGCTGTCCTACAAAAAGAGAGCTCTGGCTTTGTTTGTGTGTTGGCACACGTGTCTTTTATGGCAGTGAAAATGCTACAGTCATGGTTATCAAAAGGAATTCTACAGATCGTTTCAAAATAAACAAACTTACTGAAGACAAATACTCAGTTGCTGCGATGGAGGGTTTGACTTTATCTCCACCCTTCTCTCCCCTTCAAATGGGCCGTTTTAGTGACACTCCCGCACAGATGCAACACAAGATTTGGTGTGAATGCAGCCTAAAGGACACCCAGACCTGTATTTCACATATGTGCACACTGAGTCAGATGAGTTTTATTGTTGTTACTGTTGTAAAAATTTGCAGTAGGAGACAAAATAGAAAGACATGTCTGCTCCCCTCTCTCCACTGGAGGCACCTTCCTGGCTGTTGCCACTTGCTGGACATGTCTTGCATTTGAAACCATGGCTACCTGAAGAGGCTGAGCTGTCCTTCCTCTCTGTCTGCACACTGTCGCTCTCTCCCTGTCTGTGTGAAGTCACCATTCACTATAACATCCTCCTCTTCGCCATCGTCATCCACCTGAATGTTACCTGTTGAAAGAAGTAGTGAGTTTTGAAATGATACTGTGCCACCGGTTCCTCTTCTTGGTAAAACAACTCTCTAAAGGTTTTGACAGATGTGAAAAACACAGAAAATTGAACCTGTTCTGAAAACGTCGATGAAGGGCAAAAGTTTTGGAGTCCGTGTGTCAGTCTTGTGACACAACCCGAGGTGGTTTTTACATTAAAATGTGCAACAATTTCGGAGGAAGAATACAGGCTTGGTACGCAAAGGCTTAGTGCTTCATCAGCCCAAGAGCCAGGCTAACAGTTCCTCCCTGCTTCCTGTCTTTATGCTAAATCCCAGCTTCATTTTTACCGTACAGAAATTAAAGTGTTACCATTTATTTAGGCCGCTATTCCAAATTAATGTTTTCCATTTCTTCCGTTGCAGGAGTGGGTGAAGCCTTTATTCAACGAGTACGATTACCTCAGGATCAACTCGCACACTCAGATGCTAAGCGAGAAGCAGCACAACGTCCTTCAGTGGAATAATGAGAAACAAAGCTACGGCGAGGACGAGATGAAACAAGGTAGTCATGTCCTCCACATGCTGCAGCCTCACAGCAACTCGCTGCTGTTCTTCCAGGAAGGCGGCAGTTCACAGGGCACCGGCCACTCAACCGGACACATCTCCATCCATACTGTAACCCTGTCTGGAGAAGAAGAGTTTGAGGAGGAAGTCGTGTCACAGAGCTCCATAAACACCCTGAGAAGTTACCAAGACGGAGAAAGCTTCGGTTCATTCAAGGAAGACAACAGAGAACACGCCAGCTATGATTTAGAGGAACCTCGTAGGCAAAGCGGGATGTTACCACAGCATGACAACCATATACCTAACGAACTATCAGTGGTAAATATGAACTTTCAGCCACGTGTCCACATTGATGAACCAGAGAGGGTATCACTCGACTCATTCGTCTCAAACGAGCAGTCAGAAGACGGCTACCCTCACGTGGACTTGGACACCATCGACAGTGGCTTTGGAGAGTGCGGCAGCCCTGGAGCCTCAGACTCAAACGTAGCAGAGCAGCGGGACTCTGATTTATTTCAGGAGCACAAAAGTTCCAATTCGAACTATGTCAAGCAGTGGATGATCTGTAGCACTACTCAAGGAGACTCCAACAACTTAGAGAGCGAACTTCCTGAAACACAGTGATGATCACCGCTGATTTGCTGCCACTATCACAGTTTGTAGTGCTGTGGGACACGTATTTAAAGGATGGATGTTATCACTGACATTTCCAGAGTATACACTTTGTTTAAAAGTAAATTTGAAGCAACCAGTCTCCTTATAATGCTGTATATTCTGTCATCATGATATTTTTAAATTGTGCACTTTTTTCTCTGTATATAGTCTTGTTTCTTTGTTTTCAGAGTATTGGTTATTGTGTTTGATTTTGCTTTTAAAAGAGTTTAAAGAGATGGGAGTAAGCACATGGAGACTGGTGTTCGCCAACATCATTATATTTTTCAGTGCTGATTTATTTTCAAGTCAGGAGAGGACAGCAGAAGAAATACCCGCACACCAATTCAACTAAGCCACAAAAAAGGTTGACAGGCTGAGATCAGTGCCAAAAAATGTTGATTTATTCAGAACATCCATGCACAAAAAGAAGGGTGCTCAGAGTGCAAAAAATAAGAATAAAATGTGATAAAAACAGCAGCGAACATTTTTCAGTCCTTGACGATCATCACTGCAGTGCAACGTTTTCTTTTTTTTATTTTTTATTTTTTTTTATCACTTTTATCACGTCTGCTGCTTCTTTTTGTGCAAAGATGGGACCCTTTCTTGTGGCTTAGTTGAATTGGTGTGCAGGTATTTCTTTTGCCATCCTCTCTTGATCGTCCATCGTACCGACACACCCAAGATAAAGTTTTTTGTTGCCTAAGTAGGCGCAGTTTCACAGCAGCCCTAAGACTTTATATTCAGATTAGTTCATCATTTATTCCTTGATCATTTAAAAGAAATCTTTTCAGACATCTTTTAATAGTTTAATTTTATTGCATAATTTTAATGCAAATGTAAAGTTTGCATTGTAAATGTATCTATTGAATAATAGATCACAATACAGCATAAAGAAAGTCATTATGATTGGGGCACTCCAGACTTAATAGACATGCAGCAAGGGATCAAAATGTTGCATAGTGCTTTGATTTATTCCACAGGAGGATGTCTTCTTTATTCATTTTCATCACTGTATATACAGCTTTATGTGTTCATGGTCATGCACGCTTCATTAGCTTGTACTGTCGCACCAGCATGCACGCCGCCTTATCAAGATCTCTGATAATGTCTGCTTTTTCTCGCACATGCATTTTCTCAGTAACCACTGTAACCATTCGTGCTGGGTTTTGCAAGTCAGTTAAAAGAGCAAACTTGGAGCAAATTTTTATCATCTGTGAACAGCATGACTTTTCTCTGGCCTTGACCTAATTCAGCAGCAGGAAGTGGAGGAAAAGAAGCTTTGACAATCTGTTCTTTCACCTTTCGTTGTATCGATAATTGCGTAGTTTATTTGTTCACATTTCTATAATAACTGCACATACAAGACTGTATTAGTATTTTATGTTTCTACTAGGAAAAATGATCACAAAAACACGTTAATACAAGCAAAATTCATATTCTCTGGACCCATGTGTATTTTTCCTTTTCTCTGCAAAGCATGTCTCAGGTTTTGGTAAACATCATAAATTGATCATATCTAACGATGTAAGAAGATTTTTCCAACTGAAAGGGCACCTCATGGTAGCTGTAGTGGGAGGGGGAAGTGTGGCTCATTTACTTTCCAAGTCCGAAAGTTTATTGTCGTTGAAGTCTGTTTCTTTACCCGATGCCAAGCTGCTTGTTCCTGTCTACACTTTCCACAACCTTTTAACCCAATAACTAATAACAGTTTCATATAAATAAAATCTTTGTCTGCAGTGAGTGTAGTCTTTATACGGTGACGTGCAGACAAGGCAAATATCAAGTTGTCAGAGATTGGAAAAACGATTAAAAAGTGTCTCATTGACTCAATCTGGTGTCTGCTTCCTCCCTTTGTTTTTTATCTGGTGCTTTGGCTTCTGATTTAATGTGAAAACAACAGAGTGTCAAACTCAGTGTATAAAACAGTCTGCACAGCGACTGTCAAACATCCAAGTGATAAAAAGATAAGCAAAACACTTATTTTCTTTTCACTATTAGGCCTATGCATTGACAGATATGTGAAAAAAAACAAAAAACCAGCACAGTTTTATTTTAATGGTCAGCACTCAGAGATGTGAAAGACATTTTATGTAAGATGCTTATGATACTTGGCTTTGAGTTGCCACATACAGTTGTGGCTAATATAATCTTATTTTGTTTTTTTGCATATCAAGGATGAAGAAATAATTGTGCATATCAGCACTGATCTGCCTTCTGCAGCTCGCCAGATTCTCACAGATTCAATCTTCAAACTCTTCATGTTGCCCTGAAAGAATTTCAGAGGTCAACTTGATGGTATCTAACCCTTAAAGTCTTAAAGTGTTAGATACCTTTGATGGCAATGGAACTACCTTAACTTAAAGCTGAAGACATATTAAGTTAAGGCAGTTCCATACATTGTGCAGGGCAACATTCGGTACATTACAGGGCTTAAAGCAAGGAAAGTTTCCATGCCTTAAATGTGTTCAGGGTGTTGAGAGAACAAGTGGAAGGTATGGGGGTGTAGGTAATGAAGAACTGAACATTTACAGGATGAGACAGTCTCCTCTGAGGTGATATAAGATGCAGGGCTTTCTCTAAGGACATTGAGTAGCCAGCCAGAGGGGGAACAGTAGCCAGTGAGAATAGTCTGCAGGCATGTCTATACCCCAACCCCTGAGAGAAGAACAATTTGGCTGTAAAAGCCCAGTTTGGTGGCCTCTGACATGTCATAAGAGTTATATTGAAGGCAACTGGACTTGTTTGAGTTTCTTGAAGATGTCGTGAAATATCTTCATGAAACTCAAACAAGTGCAGTTGCTGATGATATAGCACTTATGATTACCATGACCTGGATGACTGAGAATCTTCACCAACCTCTGGCACATTCTAATGGCACCATGTTATTATTTACACTGATCTTAATTGTTGCATATTATAATGCCTTTTCCTCACAATTTGAAAACACGTAGTGAATCATTGTAAAAGAGAATTAGGCTTCTTGAGTGTTGTACCCCCAAGCAGTATGTTAATATCTAAAACCACACCTATTCTGACTGATTGTGACCTTTCTAATCAGGAATCATCAGACCTTTTCTTTTTATCCTTTATGCCTCTGCTCCAGTAACAGCTGTGGCCAGAGACATTAAGTATTTTTCAGGTTGTCTGTATGTAGGTACGTTCTTGCACACTTTGAGAGAATTTCTTCACATTTGCCATAAATGAATGAACAAACTTTATTTATAAAGAACCTTTCATGCATAAAAGTCGGCAGAGACAAACGGCAAAGAAATAAAACATACAATTAAACACTCATTGAAGGAGAAAAGAGAAGAATTGAAACATTTATCAATCAATAATTAAATTAAGTGATAAAAAAAAATACATAAATACAAACATATTAAGAATATTAAAACAGATAACTGCTAGTTGCCCTAAATGTATGAATAACATCTGTCTGACAATGTTCCAGCCTGTGGTGTGTTTGTATGTCTATGTAATTGTTAACGTCATGTAACCCCCGTTTTCTCTGCAGATGTTTTGCACTGACTGTAAAAAGAATTTTCTTGCAAAGGACTAAATAAGCTAAACTAAACTGCTACTTATAGGCTATTTTAAAAAGATAAATGTTTTGAGTCGTCGTTTAAAATTGTCCATTGAGCCAGCAAGTCTAATATGTAAAAGCAAGGTGTTCCATATTTTTATGGCGTAGTACCTAAAAGAAGCATCTTCAAAGGTTTTTGCCATTTAGAGCCTTTAAAACCAAAAGAAGGATTTTAGAATAAATTCTAAATGATAATGGGAGCCAGTGAAGGTTACGCAGAAAAGGAGTTATATCGTCTCTCTTTTTGGTTTTTGTTAAAACCCTGGCAGCAGCATTCTGATTGGTCTGTAGTTTTGCAATGGCAGTTTTAGGTAAGCTGGTGTATAGAGTGTTACAATAGTCAAGACAACTGGAAACAAAAGCAATAACAGGCTTCTCAGCATCTCACTGGCTCAGTAGAGGTCACACCTTAGCTATATTGCCCGAATGATAAAATGCAGTTTTTGTTAACGAAATAAAATGAGCTTTAAAATTGAGATCACAATCAAAAATGACACCAAGGTTTCTTACCAGAGGTCGTGTCTGTGCGGCCACCTGGACTCAACAATGTGACAAAAAATGACAAAAATGTCAGCTTCACTGTGACACCATAATGTTCTGCAAAAACACTTTCCTGGCAGTTATTTAACACCATCACTTGGAGACAGAACAGAAGGCTGAATAGTTTTTGCATAGAGCCAAAAAAATCTTGATTTCTGCAGTATGAAATAACACTGTGGGGTCCATAGAACAAAGCACTAGAGACTTACACTGACTGAGCAGCTAATTTCTATACGAGAACTCTGCTTACTTGCTTTAATTCGAATGGGTCAAATCCCAATAATGAAACAAGTCACTTTACGGGGTATCCACTGATTTACAGACGTTTCTTTCACAGTGTAAGGCTATGGGGGATTTTTCTCTTTTTGGCAACTATGTAAAATTTGCTTTAAAGCCCGGCACTGTTCCTGGGGGCTCGGGCTCAGAGAGACATTAACACCAAATATAATCATGTCTAAATGTGAATCCTCATGTTAACTTGAAAGGTCCAAAAAGCAGAACAGTGTTGTATTATCTAACATTACTCACCATTTCCTCAATTGCAAACGGTCGTCTGGTACTTGTATGCAACGGCAACTTTCAAAGCCATAAAGGAGATCTAATATCTTTCAAACTATTCAGCGCTTGTTTCTCTGTTCTGGGTTGGTCTCTAAACGGCATATGCAGCATGAAACTGTCATAAAATGATTACCAAATTTGTCCAAAAGATCACAAAGATGATATGAAAACAAAAAATTCTTGCTACACAACACTTAATATTTTCCATAGACATATATTTATATACATATAAATATCCACCGGATTTCCTGTAGGTTGTCAGAAAACATTAAGCCCTGACATTATCAGT